GACGACGGTGAGGGGCGGCTTCCGGCCGAAGAACGCCTCAAACGGCGACATCCAGCCCAGGTTGGCCTTCGCCGCGGAGCGGTTGAAGCAGGCGGATGCCGACAGCGCCGACGCGAGCCACAGGCGATGTCCGTTGAGGCCGACGTTGGGATGGAGGAGAGGTCGACGTGGCCCATGGCGAGGATGTGGCGGCGTGCGGCGTGGCCCCCCTTCATGGCGCGTCATATGGCGCTTTCGACCACCGCGTTTTGCTTGGGGGTGTCGGGGGCGGTGTACTCGCGCCAAGTGCCAGCAGCGTCGCAGAACGAGGTGAACGCGGAGCCGGTGAAATCGCCGCCGTTGTCCATGCGGAAACACCCTGGAGTGCCCATGCCTTTCATGTCGGCGAGGAACCGCTGCACGAACTTCAGGGTGTCGCTCTTGGCCCGCATCCCGTACCCCCGTTGCCACCGCGATGGGCTGTCCACGAACATGATCAGATACCGGGAGCCGTCCAACGCGTCAGAGAACGGGCCCGTGAGGTCGATGTGGATTTTGCCGAACGGTACCGCCGCGCGGGTGCCACGCCGCGGCACCGGGGCCCGCCTACCCTTCGCTTCCACGCAGCCCACACACGGCTGCATCTCCCCCACCAATCGTACGCCCTGCTGCTTGGCCGTTTCACGCATCAAGAATTCGTTGACATGGCCNGTCAAAGAACGGGCCCGTGAGGTCGATGTGGACTTTGCCGAACGGTACCGCCGCGCGGGTGCCACGCCGCGGCACCGGTGCCCGCCTGCCCTTCGCCTCCACGCAGCCCAAACATGGCTGCATCTCCCCCACCAGTCGTACGCCCTGCTGCTTGGCCGTTTCACGCATCACAAATTCGTTTACATGGCCGGTGGAGGCATGGAACAAACTAATGTCAATGGTCGGAGTGGATTTTCCAACCGAAAACGGGAAAGCACCGGGGGCGATAATCGCCAAGGCATGCGAGAGGGAGGGGGGAGCTACGGTTTGCTGCTCACTGCATCCAGCAACAAAACCCTCCAGGCAATCCAATTCATCACTCATCACGGCAAACGCGGGGGGAGGGGGTGTTGCAGAGTCACAAACATCAAGCGCATCCGGAAAAAAAATCACCCTGTGGGACCGAGTCTATTCCATCCATCAGGCCTACA